TTTTTTCATAGCTTCAGGTATTAATTTATATTTTATTTCTTTTTTTAGAACCATCCTGTATTACAGTTATAGGATTGAAGATTTAAAGGTTTTTCTTTGGTATACCACCTATCATCTGATTACGTCTATTCAAATCAATCTTCCATCTACGTCTCTAACATATTTTTCTGAATGTTTAGCAGTATAACGGCGTAGTGATACTCGTTCTTGTCCTATAATATTTTCATTTACTTTTTTACCTAATGATTCATGATAAGCTATTAGCAAACAATCTTTCCGTTCATTGATCTGTATATATGTTTCTGTTCCTCTACCAGTAAAATAATGTCCAATATCTCCATCTTCACCTGCTTCATAATAGATTTTAGCAGATTGTTTAAAAAGAACAGGTATTTTTCTTACTTCTGAAGGATTTATTATTTCTTTTTCTCCAGTATTTGAATTGTAAACAGTTATTTTTCTTCTTTTACGATCTGCTAACATTTTGATATCAGTTAGACCTAAAGCTCTATCTTTATCTTTTGCTTATCTCAAATAACTTGCAGTAATTTGTTTTGGATTTCTAATATTATTTTGTAGATCTTCTCTTTTCACTCGATCTTGTTATTCTTTCTTTGAATCTTGATTTATTAGCAATTTGACTTTCTGCATGATTTTGTCTATTTTGATTCGATTGTTTCATTATATTAGCTGGATTTTTTTCCATTACATTGTGAATCAACCATTGTCTTTATTCCTTCTACAATGGTTTTTCCAATCTGTTTTAATGTTCCATTAATAGCTTGTCTTACTACTTTATCTAATTCTTTTGTTAATTTAGTTGATATATATATTCTCTAATGATTCTATTCAACGGTTCTGCTCTTGTTTCGACAAGGTTCTGATTAATGTTTTTTCTATAAATATTTGAATTTTCTTTGGTAGTACCTTCAATAATATCTTTTAAAGTATTAAGGACATGTTCGAACTGTAAGACAGATTGAACTACAATCCACAACTTATTAATGATATCTATTGCTTTAAGAGTAGTAGCAGCCATTTTAACGTATTTTGAATTTGATTTCTTTAGACCATCAGCCAATAGATGATAACTATTTCTTAAAGAAGATACAACTCGTGTTCGAATATTATCAAATTGTTGAGGTAATAAAATATCTTTTCCTAATGTTTTTTCTAATATGTTTTTTCAATTCTTCAAAAGATTTTTTGAACTCTTCTTCATTTTTACTTTGAAGATAAAGAGTTGCTACTTTATTATTTATTAAACCGATTATTCCTTTTAATAAATTTTCTTCTATTTTACTAACAATCTTTTGTATAACATTTTCTTGAATCTGTTCCATAATTTTATCCGTCAAAAACTTTCCAATTCCAGCAGTCAACATAGAGAGACCGAAGCTAATTGCTTTTTGTATTGCCCATTCTTTCCAACTAAAAGTACCTGATATTAAAGCATTGCCTATCTGAGTCAAACCAAAGGCTACTAAAACAGCTTCGGCAATGACTTGAACAAGTCCTATCATTGCAACGGCAAAACCATTCCAATCCCACCAAGATTTATCTTCTTCAATAATCAAAAATTTACTAAGATTAAAACCTTTAAAAAAATCTTAATTCACTTGGAACATTTTCTTGATCTTGAAGATCTATAAAATCTTTTAAATTAGCTTTTAAACCTTTTTTAAATGAACGAGTATCTCCTTGTAAAGACAAAATTTTCAACAAAATTAATTCTTTATCATTTTCAAATTGAGTATTTTTTAAAAGTTTATTTAAAATTCTTTCAATATTTCTTTTAATATCTCCATATTTATATTTGGCAAGTCCACCAGACTTTAAAATATTTTTTTCTTTTAGATAAATTCGAATATTATTTCCTTCTTCTTCTTTAGTAGTAAATGGTAAATCTGTTTGATAAAAATATTGATGTTGTTGACTAATATTATCTTTTAATTCTATTAAAAATGTTTTAAGATCTTT